TATCTCCTTTCATCCTACATCACATATTCATCATCATCTATTTACCTTTCTATCATTACCTATCTCTCATCATTTTATTTCATCACACACCAACTATTTCATCTACCCATGTTTCATCCGCAACATATTTGTAGATATAAAATAAATATACCGTTTAAATCTTTTAAAACATGTATAAAATCGTTCATCCAACATAGACAGCAAGTATTCAAATAATATGCACACATAACACGTAATTTATATAAAATACTTCATATCTATGTGTAAGATGAAAGTAACTATATATACCATAAAAATCCCATAAATGATTCCTAACTTCAAACCCCAATGTTTACTCTACTAAGGCTTCATATTCTCGGCTCTCTGGACCTAGAAGGGTCCAGATTTCTAACTTCAAACCCCAAGGTTTACTCTACTAAAGCTTCATATTCTCGGCTCTCTGGACCTAGAAGGATCCAGATCTATAACACAAACTTGCAAGAGGGGTTTGAGGCATTCAAAACCCCAAAGATAAAGTGATTCAAACCCTAACCCCAAAATGGAATCTACACAATAGGGAAGGAAATGGGTTCATTTTTGTACCTCAGAATGAAGCTCCTTGCTTGAATAACTCAGAACAATAACCTTCCTTGATCCCTCTTGCTGGAACTCTTCTCCTTTCTTGCAAAATCACACCAAAAAGCTCAAGATAACTCTTCATCTCACTCTACACACTCAAGCCCGCTAGGGTTCTCACTTATAGGAAAGGTAGTCGCAATTGAAGGCCATAAGTGCCTTTAAATATGGCTTGGGCCCAAAGATTTAGGGTTTCTGCCAACAGCGCGAACTCGTCGAGTCGCCTCACCGACTCGTCGAGTCCATTCATTAATCTGAGTCATTAGTCGCGACCTTACTCGACTCAACTCGTCGAGTCTCTCTTCTTAACTCAAAAGAAAAATACTTAAATTATGATACCTGGAAATCCGGATGTTACATTTTGTTTTTGTTTTTTTTTGTTTTTTTTTTGTTTTTTTTTTTTTAATTTCATAGATTTCTTCATCAACAAATGTTGCTACAATTAAACAAAAATAAATAATTTGCTAAAACATAATACAATAGAAAGTTTGTTCACATTTAGCCATTGAATTTTTTAGAGGGAAACGAACTTTCGATTTTTTTCACATTTAGTCACTAAACTTTTTTACGTTATCTATTTGCCACTAAACTATTGAAACTGTTCACATTTTACCCTTATGACCGGTAATAGCCGGTCATAAGGGTAAAATGTGAACAATTTCAATCGTTTAATGACAAATAGATAACGAAAAAAAGTTTAGTGACTAAATGTGAACAAAGTTGAAAGTTCGTTACCCTCTCAAGTCATTATCCCTATCTTTTACATACACTAAATTCTAAATTTGGTCGCTTTTGAATAAGATGGGTATCTTGTTGGTATAATATATATCGAGTGTTTTTATATAAAAACGAGAAGAGTAATACTTGATTGTGTGATGTTCAGACTAAAAAACAAAAAGAATTTCCAACGTAAATTCCGTATTGTCTAGTTAAAATGTATGGTCCTGTGCAACAACGATAGCTTGGCGAAAACAACCATTTTTTCATGATTAATTCTTGATAATCCCTTGGGAATGAGCTTGGGCAATACATTTACATTTTTTTTTTATTGTTATGCTATATATGAAAATGTATGGTTGCTTTTATTTTTTCTAGTCGAAACAAAATTGTTTTAAAATGTTTTGTTTAAAACACATTTTAAAAAGAGTTCTTAAAATCGAAATGTAAGTAATTACAAATACATTGTATGCCTGTGATTTATTTTGTGATAATAAATATTGTTAATAAATGATAAAACATTAGCCTTTATATAATTAAGTTGGGTGATTAATTTATAAAGGATTAAAAGATCAAAATGTATTAAAATTAAACTGTTGTTTTCCTTTTTGTTTTTCTACTTAAGAAAATTAAGTTAAATAATGAGAATAAAACTTGTTTTATGCCTACGAACATTAAGTTAAATAATGATAACCTTTTGGATTGGTATCATGTTTTGAGAATTATTTATATACACAAGAACAAACTACATCTTCTTATTAAATTCTTTCCTAATCGAGGACCTGATCATCAACATCATGCATGGTGTAAGAAATTCGATGAACAACAGGATGTTGTTTCTTTTATGACTTTATTGTAGGAGCCTAGAGCTAAAGAAAGAAGTATGAGATATGAGGTCTACTTGGTCATCAAACAGTAAAAAAAAAAAAAAAAGTTCCACAAATTGTATTTAAACACGAGTCATGGATTGAGTGGGAGAAATCCGAGCTAAAGCTATATAAAATGAAAGTTGTGGAATATGAGCTTTTTTCCACCAAGAGGAAGAGGTCGCATTCGAGGGAAGAAAACAAGAAGATTTCATGATGACCAAAGAAAAGAAAAAACTAACCTTTCTAAGAATGTCAACTAGTTCCATTGTAGAGAAGTTGGTCAATGAAAGATCAATTGTTTCAAATATCTTTTGAGATGAAAGATAGTAAAGTTGGAAAGTCCAACAAATCAGGCGTATATTTTCCATTCTATGTGATAGAACTAAATGAATTTTCTTAAATTCATGGGTGTTTGATAAAGGTTATCGTACTCACATTTGTAAAAAATATGCAGGGATTTATAAAAAGAAGGAATCTGAAAGGAGGCCAAGTGGACTAATTCGTTGGCAACAAGACAAATGCACATTGGAATTTATGAGCTGAAGTTCCAAATGAGATCATTCTTACATTAAATGATTGTGATTAGGCTCCTAGAATTAGTGTAGGAACTGTTCTAGTTTCCCTTTTAATAAAGAGTTGTTATAAACCTATGTTTTTTTATATTAGTATTTCGGTTTATAAAACAATATGTTATGCTTTAATATTATTTTTAGAATTGGTATTTGTGAAATTGAAATGAAAAACCACACCTCAAATAACATGTCAATGAACGTGTTAAGTTTTAAATGTTGCTAGATCCATATCAAACTTCAATCAAACATATCTATGATATTCTTCAATTGAAAATATCAACAAGAAATGCATAACAAAACTCCAATCATAGCAAATTTGAATTCAACTAGGTCAGACTTATTTGATATGTGTGAATCGTGTTTATATGGAAAAATGTAACTAGTAAAAATATGTCAAAGTTTGTCGGTAAATCCACCACAAACACCACTATAAAAGGGCATGTTGCATAGCATTCCTTATTCTTGAGTCCAATTGAAGTCATTGTACTTGAAATTGAATATAGAATACCTTAAAGTTTTCTCAAAGTTAATCGGAAACAATGCGTGAAATAAGTATTAAATGATGCCCTAAAAATAATTTTTTTTGCATTAAGTATACTTAGTAATGATGTATTGGCACGAGAATCGAGAAACATGATGACATCACAAAAGTACATTGCACATGATTGCAATATTAATTAAATCCCCCAAAATCCTCAAAAAGTTGATTTTGGTATATTTATAGCCGGTCAAGATTTTTCAAACAATAATTGACTCCTTCTCTCTCAAGCTTCATCCCTCCTCCTGCATTTCCGGCCAAAAACACCATTGGAGGTGGTTGCATTTCCGCTGACCAACAAAGGCAACAACCCCTTCCTCCAGTCGTGTAGCACCACCCAAACACCCCCCCCCCCCCTCGTGGTTATTGATGTTCTTGACCTTGCAGCCGGCGATGGAGAAGAGATTAACCAAGAGGAGTCGTCGAAGCAGCCCCTCTCAATGAAGATAGCCACCAGTTTCCGACTTCGCTCCCTCCTGCCACATCTCCCTCTTCCTACTTCGATTAACAACACCACATGTGGCATCCCCTTTTTTACCTTAATGTTAACCAGTTAGAAAGAAGATCGTCGTAAAATCGGATACCTCCTCGCTCTTTCGATTGTTGTGGCACCAAATAACCCCACTTATGTCATCTTCTTCACTTTCCGAAGAGAAGAACTCGGTGAAGTTCCACCGAAAACCTCGACATGCCGAGGTGAGGGGGCGGTTTTCCCCGGGTTGCTAGGTTCCATGTCACCATCCACCTCACATTTGCCAAGTCCTTCTTCCCACTCCCACCAGCCTTACATTTATATTTATATATGAATATTACATTTCTCTCTCACATCATTACGCAAGAGGGTTTTGCAGCAAAAAGAAATATGATTCAGATTTGTTCTCGCATTCTCAAGTATATAATTGTTCTCGTTTTCGGATCATAATTCTACAATATTAAGATCATACCCCAAATACAATTTGTATACAATCTGGTTCGTTTTTTATACTTAGGATCGTACGATCCTACAATCAAAACCACGATTTTAACAACCTTGATAAATTCTTATATATATATATATATATATATATATATATATATATATATATATATATATATATATATATATATATATATATATATATATATATATATTAAGAATAAATCTCAAAAGGTGTTGTTAAAAAATCTATAAATTTCTTTAAAAAATTATTAAAAAAAAAATAATTTGTAAAATAAACTAAATTTGGAACAAATTTGTAATAACGTTATTTGTTCAAACCAAATTCGTAACATAACTGAAATTTTAAGCCAAAAGAGTTGGAAATATTCGAGTTGAGATTGGGGTAAGCATACATATTACCCTTTTAAAAGGTAAAATGCATTCGTTGGCAACTTAAATACAAATGAAATAGTTACTTTCCAATAAAAAACAGTGGTAACCCCATGCTACCTAAATAATTATAGATTGAAAAATCATAAACAAAACAAATGAAAACACAAAATTTTAATATTTCAAGAAACAGAAAATTCAAGATTCTATGTAATTATAAAAACTCAAAATTCTACGTATTTATAAAATTTTAAATTCGGGTCAATCATCAAAATTCTACGTAATTATAAAATTTTAAATTCGGGTCCATCATACAATCGCATTCAACTCTTTTGATGCAATACAAGAGATGAAGAGAGTTGGTATCCTACCTTTTTAGCTGGTGGGTATTAATTAAAATTTAAAAAAAAAAAAAAAAAAAGTAGATGGACATAAATGATATGGGGCCTAAGTAGTAGTATGCTTGAGATTGTCTTCAACTAGTTCAATACATCGATATAAAACAAACTCTAGAGGATTAAGAGCAATTGCCAGTTGACCATCGTCGTCCCCAGCACTTACACCAGAGACCAAACTTCTTAATGGTTCAAGCCATTCTCTGTACACCTTCTGCAACTTGTTCTTCAACAACACTTCCGTGTAGTTTGTTTTCCCTGATGACTCGGTGATCAAAATGAATCTGTAGAGATTCAGTGCTGATAACACCTATCAAAAATGAACAACTCTCATTTATCTATATTTTCTTACTAAAGATACTCATACCACCATACTTTATACTATTAATTAGAAAGTCCTACATTTCCACTTCAGGAGTTTTGCCACAAAGGTTTTTAGTTTTAGAGTTTTGGAATTTGACAGATTTAGTCCCTGTCATTTTTTTTTACAAAAACAGTCCATTTGTTTAAGATTTTTGTATGTTGGCAGGTTTGTCCCCCATGTAGAAAATAAATTATAAAAGTTGTCCCCGTAATTTACAGAAAATGTCCTTGTGTATTTTTTTTACAAATCGGTCTGTATGTTATAAAAAATTACAAAAATAGTCCCGCCCAATAGAAAATTTGCAGATTACATTACACCCACCACACCCCACCAATATATTGCCATGTCTAGTCCCTACACTTTTTTAGTTTACCGCTTTCGCCACATGACTTTTGTATATTTGCAGGTTTGTTCCTTACACTTTCAGCATTACACAAGTTTAATCCCCCCACCCCCCAAAAAAAAAAAATACAGTTCATAATTTTTGATTGAAAAGGATAAAAGGGAAGAGAGTTACAGCATCGGTGAATTCAGGGAGAGAGGGGGGCCCACCCTTTGGTGGCTTTAAGACAAACTCCACACAATCAAGAACACCACCTGTCCAAAATGACAATGTACTTTGAACAGCTTTATTTTCTTCTTTTGCATCTATATTTTGCCCTGAAACCTTTTTCGGATATTCCTTGTACATTTCTTCTTTGACACAACCAAGAAGAATCGCAATCTGTTCAACAAATTTCATCTTTTCAAATTAACTCATCATCATAAATTCATACTTCATAAATCATGCTTTTTTACCATGGAGGATAAATCGCTGTTTTTTATTAAAGCCATCAAGATGTCAAATCTTAAAGAAGCTGGAATATCTGCAAGCACCTGACATCATCCAAACCATAAAATGACCGTTTTACCCTTACGACTCCAAAAAACAATATTCATTGATTCTAACACATGGGAGGAGTTGGAAAGGTAAAAAGAAGAGAGACAAATAGATAAAAAAGGGTTAGTGTCTTGATACATTAAGCCATATTGTTTCACCTTCAACTGATCCATTAAGGCATTTTGTAAAAACTGAAAAAAGGTAATGATGGAAAATTATTATGTATACTAATTAGAATTGAGAAATGAATAGTATACTTTTATGTTTGAGACTTTGGCCACCAATAGTTTTGTGCATTGGCAGGTTTGGTACCCGTGTAGAAAATAAATTATAGAAACTGTCCCTGTAATTTACAGAAAAGGTCCCTGAGCCGATTTTTTATAGAAACTGTCCATGTGTTTAGGACTTCCATATGTCGGCAGGTTTGGTCCCAGTGTATAAAATAAATTATAAAAATTGTCCTGTAATTTACAGAAAAGGTCCTTGTGCATATTTTATACAGAAACGGTCCACATGTTTACAAAAATTACAAAAATAGTCCCTGTCTAATAGAAAATTTTCAGATTAAGACCGCTGGATTAAGTCATGTATATAGCTTACTGGATTAAGTCATGTCCACATTAAGTTATTATAAGATTTACAAAAAAAAAAAAAAAAAAAAAAAAAAAAAGTTTTTTACCATTTTGAAAGTATCAAAAGCTTTTTTCCTCAGCGGTGGATCTGAAGCATATACAATCACCTTTTGAATAGCCTGAACATTTAAAAACTACATTTTTAGGCACTGTTTAGTAGATAATATCATAATAACCTGAGAAAAGGGGTGAGATTACCTGTAATGCAGCATAGAGACTAGGCATGTAGACCGAATAATCTAAGGGTTCCTCAAGATCCTTGTGAGAGTGAGAGTCAATGGCTTCCATAATGCAAAATAGAAAGTCAATGGCATGTCTTTTCAGTGCCCACGGAAGATTAGAAGAAGCATAAACATGCTTCAATATGCCAACTGCTTCCCATCTTTCTATTTGATTGCTACAAAGTTTGACTTTGACTTTGACTGCTGCCTCCAAATCTTCTTTGGAAGCTTCATTAGAAAGGTCTCTCCAAAGTACTGTGTGCACATATGTATATAAAAAAGAATAGAATCAGACATCATCTTAGTGGGTCTCATTTGTTACACAGGACAAGACATAACAGAACAATACAATCAGCCTTGTTATGCAAAAGACGAAAATGCCCTCATCCTCATCATGGAAAATAGCCCTAGAAATCTCTTTTAGTATAATCATGTCCCATGTAAGAAAGTAACAAACCGCAGCCTAAGCACTGGTTTTGGAAACCAGTGATTTCAGCAAAGGGTAAATTCGGAAAGAAAAAATACATGTATCAGCCTATCAGGTCACCTGTAATAGCTGCTCCACATTTGACATATGAAAAGCATCTCATATAATCATCTTCATCGCCTATACATGCATCAAAAAGGAAGAAAGGTATGAGGAAACAAGGTCAAAAGTCAAAACTGAACTTTTTATGGTCAAACCTGAACTTTTACCTTGAGAAATAAGGTCAACAGCCATGCCCACTTCATGTCCAGTTATTAGACCAAGATAAGTGAAACCACAGTAGTGAAGGAAGTGTGATAACTGTAACATAATGGGAGACCATCTAGAAGTTTCTGATCCCACACTATTTGAAATAAGAGCCTGCATTTTATAAAGAAAGTAAGATGAGAATAAAAAAAAAATTAATAATCACATTCTAGGCATGAGGGGTATTACTGTAATTTGCAAGACATACAAGCCAAATAAAGCAAAAAGCTTCTCATCTTTTTGATCCTGTTGCATAAAATAAATGATGGGAAGTGAAGAAACTTGAGAGTTAAGACAACTTAGACATATTTACAAGTGTGCCACTGACTAGTTTTATGCAGATTGTGTTAAGAGAATGAGCGATTAATATTGCTTTATTGATTAAATCCATATCTTCATCCTCTTCTGGATCTGATAAGATGGCTTCTAGAACCTTCAGGACAACGGGAAGGGATGCTTTTACTTGCTCAAATGGTCTTCTCTTGAGGGCCTCAAAAACTGGGAATAAAGAAAAATGAATAAGAAACTGGTAAATCTTAGTTTCAAAGCATGATATAGGTAAGACTAAGAGAATTATGTTCCAAGAAGAACAAATTTGGATCAATTTTCACAGGAATAGCTAAACATATGCTCACCTCCTCAAGTATCCTGCAACTTACTCATTAATCTTGACTTAACCAGGGTAGATAAGAAAATATAAGTGGAGTTCATGAAGTTATAATTATAAAATGTAAAAAAAATCTTCATCCGAAACAGTATATAGTAATCAGCTAGAAGTAAAAAAGGATGAAAACAAAACAGCAAACACTACCTTTTGCAAGAGCTCCTAATAGTGGTGTAAAATAGAAGGAATTGCTAAAGCCATCGCTTGGAGAAGTCATAGCCTGTTGAAATAGCACATAACTTTAACAATGGAGTAAATCAACATCTCACCAAGGAAGTAGTAGGCTAGGATCAAGCATGTTCATATAATTCATGAATTTTGTACATATTTTGAGATCATGTGTACAAACATAGTTGATAGATCTTTATCAAATCCTACACAAATAAACAGTTAAAAACAACATACCTCACAAAGAATAGAAACCATATCTCGGGGGCTACAAACCTCCACGAAATGATTAATGATCCTTTCAGCATTCTCAAAACACCTCGTAGACACACAAGCAAACTTGGCTACAGCCTTAGGAAGCTCAAACGCTAATGCATCTGTAATGGCCTGAGAAAAAAGGTATAGGTATCACCAAAAACGTAGCATTAATGTTGGGACTTATAAACTACTAATATGAAGAGAAAACTCCAAAAGAAGTTCAGAACATACTATCAGATTCGAAAAAATGATGTGATGGTGAAATTATGCTCGTTGAAGTAATAAATAACTTAATACCTGGTCAAGTGAAGGTGAAATTAAGTAGTGATAAATTTCTGAAAGAACCTCAAACGCCGAGTTCTCTGCTCCTTTTTCATCGTTCGTCCCCGATGAGATAAAATCCGATAGCGAATCGAGAAAATGAACAAGCTCCGATATGGATTCTTGTGATTGCTTAAAGTCCCCATTAGCGATTGACTATCAAAGAATACCATGATCATATTGGTAACTATCATAGAGCAATTGTGATTGTTTATATAAATAGAAAAAGATGTCGTGATTGTCGAGAGATAGAGGGAGGAATTACTTGAGAACATGAAGCTAGGGCTTGTTGAAGGCGAAGAGAGTCGATGTTCTCTGGTGCAGACATGGGTTGGGAGTTTTAGCGGGAATGATAGGACATTTGCTTCTACATGCTTCTTGGTCTACTACGTTTTAGGGTTTATTCTTTGGAATTATTAAGTTTTCATTTATATAAACGAACTACCAAAGGGATAAATAAGATAAGTCAAACATAACTGTTGATTTAACAAAATAGACATAGTTTTAATATACAACATTTACCAAAACGCTAAATATCGTTTTGTAACACTCGATTTTGAATTGCTTCATTATTCTGAACCGTGGCCCAATCATCGGTTATCAAAAGGCTTGGAGCCTTAGGGAAGAAAGTTTTAGACCCATGTTGTTTATGTGATGAAAGGGTTATGTTTGTACTTTAGAGCCCAAGAGTATCGATAAAGGCTTTGGTTTGGGCCTTTTATGAATTTTGGATTTTAGTTCGGTTGGTTTTAAGGCTAAATAAAGTTGATAGAAGTGTAGGACTTCTCGTTACCTTTTCGTGGATATAGGAACGTCGAAAACGGATAATAGATGCAAAAGTTATGACCATTTTGAAGTTAGAGGGGTTTGGGGCCAAAACGGGTACACATGGCGTATCAGGTGGGTACGCATGGCGTTCAAAAAGGAAATTGGTCGCGGGCCAACTTGGGAACGTTGGGCGTTCCTAAGGGGAACGTTGGGTGTTTGCTCGGCAACTTCAAAAGTTCGTTTTTAGGGTTTGGCCCTTTTATAAGCATCATTATGGACCCAAACCTTTTCCATTCTTCAGCCTCCATTTTCTCTAACCCTAAGAACAAACCCCTGACATCCATTTGAGTGATTCTTGAGCTTCATAGTGGTTTAAGTGTGCTTTTGGTGCTTGGGGATGGATATGAGCTTCTTGAAGAATCATTGTTTCGCTTTGAGCTTTTGGATCCAAGTTTTATCAGATGGATCTATCCTTAGAGGTGTAAAGTCTCAACATTTATAGTTTTCTCATATGGATCTACTTGGGTCTTGAGTTGTTATGTTTTGTACCTTGAAGAAGAAGAAACTTGGTAATCAAGCCATGCTTGGAGTTTAGCTTCTATATCCATATTCTTCATCACAATTGCAAGCCTCTAAAGGTATAAAGTTCTCATATTGATGCTTCTTTATCACGAGATCTAAGTTAGGGATAGAGTTATGCATGTTATGGTCTTTTGAGGCTCCTTGTGAGTTTGGGTCACTCCAAGAGCCTAAGATTGTAGATCTTGCCTTTTATGAGTTGGATTTGATATAAAGTTGGAGTATTGATGCATAAAGTCCTCCTATGTTTGAGTTATTGGTCACTTTGTGAAGTTTAAGTGCTTGAAATCATGATTGGACATTTTTTAGCTATACAAAGGCTTAAAGCCTTTAACTTTATCAATTAAGTCATTGGTATGAAGCTATTTTGAGGGTTTAGACATTGGACTTAAGGTATTAAGACGTTTGGTGTAATTTATGGTTAATGGTTGGGAACGTCGTGCGTTCATCTCGGGAACACGGCACATTCAGACAAGGGGTCCCGATTTGTGGTCTGGCAACGAATGCCCTGCGCTCCACCAGGGAACGCAACGCATTTGGTTCATCACTAAGCTTATTGGGCTTTTGGTCATGGGTTTGTTTTGGGGTTTCGGTTTGTTTCTTTGGGCTATGAATTATTTGTTTGGGCACCAGTTGGGCCTCAGGACTTTGAGGGGGCCTTAGGTTGGTTTGGGCCTCGAGTTGTATTGTTCGGCCATTAGTGGGCTTTGGGCCAAGTTTGGGTTGGGCCCATTAAGGAAAGGGTAAAATGGTATTTTACCCTAAGAGCCAGGATTTTCGAGTTCAGACCACAGTTATTGGATTATGTCATAATTATTAATTGGGATTTGTTGGTAGGCTGTAACTTTAAGGGATATGTCAGCGCCTATATCATTGTGTGCAATAACATCTTTAATCGATGTGATGCTAATTGTGATGGTTGAGTTTATTCAAGATCGGGAAATTGGGAAAGGGTGGCAAGTGTGGTGTTTAAAACAGCTTATGTGGTATGCTTTACTGGTATGAAATATGAATATTAGCATATCTATGACTTGTACTTTTCTAATTAAAAAAATAACGAGTATATATAATCATTGTCGATTATACTGGAAACAAGCAGGCTAGAACAGTATATAGATTTTGTCTAAGCTTCAGTGGATACGCAATGAGGAAGAGAGGTCATGTTTTGGTTTCCACGTTCAATCCCATTGACACTATCATCACTATTGTCATTTCTCGTTTCTTAAGTCCCTCCATTGCCATTGGAAGGTATCATGCTATACTCATGCATTAAACATTTGTTTAGTGATCTTACACTACACATTGATCATTTGTTTTGATTGTTCATCAAGTTGTTATCTTGTTTACACGGCCTTACATGTATGTTTGTGATGTTTACTGGGTTGTACTTTGTTCTATGGGCTAAATGAAAAGAGGGATTTAAAAAAAATAATAATAATAAAAATAAAAATAAAAAAAATCGAATGGAATATTGTGATGTGGAGACGCCTCTACTTCAATGACACCAATATTTTCATTATATTCATTTTGGAAACGCAATTTGAGATTTGATTGTCTATGGTAAAGGTACCAGAGTGGGATCAGGGTTTTGTTTAACCGCCAGGGCCAAACAATATATTCAGCACGGGTGTGCGGGTTATCTCGCGTATGTTGTGGATACACAAGACAGATATCAGATTTCAGTTTCAGAGGTCCCAGTGGTCAGGGAGTTTGCGAACGTATTCCCGGAGGAGTTACCAAGGATACCTCCGGAGAGGCAGGTCGAGTTTAGGATTGACCTAGTGCCAGGTGAGGCTCCCATCGCCGAGGCGTCGTATCGGTTGGCACAACCAGAGATGCAGGAGTTGTCTTCACAGCCGCAGGAACTGCTATGAAAACAATTCATTCATCCGAGCAATTCTCCCTGGGGAGCGTCGATACTCTTCGTCATGAAGAAAGATGGTTCACATCGGATGTGTTTTGACTACCGGAAATTGAACAAGTTAACGGTGAAGAACCGATACCCACTCCCGAGGATATATGATTTATCTGACCAGTTACAGGGTGTGTCTTGGTTTTCCAAGATAGACTTGAGATCTAAGTATCATCAGGTCAGGGTCAGAGAGGAGGACGTGGAGAAAACCGCATTCCGAACTCGTTATGGACATTACGAGTTTGTGGTGATGTCGTTTAGGCTCACTGATGCTTGATTCTAAGTTCTCTAAGATAGACTTGAGATCTGAGTATCTGCAGACTGATGCTTGATCATTCGGTCATCGTATTTATAGATGATATATTGGTATATTCTAAGACAGACGAAAACGGACGTCGGATGAAGAAGTTATGAATTTATAACGGAGTTTTGTTGTCATGACCTATTAAAATAATATAATAAAAATAAAGTCAAAATTAGCCGACGGAGTCTAAACAAAAGTTGTAGATCGTAGTTTCACCTACGCGGGGATATTAAAAAGATCAAAAATGGAGCTCGTATGAGGAAGATATGAATTTTAAAAGTTTATTAAATAATTAAAGTATTTAATTTAAATATAAATTTGGATATTATCCAAAGTGGGGAGTCCCCGGGCTTATTCGGGTTACGCCCAGCGTACCTGGATTTACACCCAGCGTAAATCGTGAATCCAGCCCCTATATAAAGGGTGCGAGGCTGCCTTATTCCTTTGCTCATTTTCTCTTCTCTCTCTTCCGTTTTACCTCGATTTTCGTGCAAGAAATATCTCGAAGCCACGGTATTAATCCCGAGCCCCGAAGCAGGTCCTGAAGCCCCAAAGATCCCGAGAAGTAAAATTTCCGAGCCGAAGCTCTGCCCGCGAGGAGCCCGATTTTTGTGAAGATCTTCCAAATCTGCCGAAGAATACTACTTCTACAAGCCGTAGTGCTATCCAATCATCTTATGATCAAGTGAGTGTGTGGTCACTTTCTTCTAACACATAAATATTAAGCATTTGCTATGAAATACGCGCTATGTGTATAATATAAAGTTGTTTATACGTGTGGGTGTGTAGTCCCTTTCATAAACACGAGTATAATACAAGTATTGTTTGAATGTATTAAGTATATGTTTGGGTGAGTGTGTGGTTACTTTCTTGTAACACATAAATATGAAGTATTTGCTTTGAAATGCGTGTTATGTGTTTATATACTATTTTTTTATTTGAGATAAGTGTGGAATGGATATTTTATGTGGTTTTTTAATGTGTTAAATTGTGACAATAGTAAATTTCGGATCAAGTCAAAGTCAAACAATGTCAACAAGTCAAACCAGACGACTCAATTAGCCCTTGTATATTAGGGTTTACATTGTGTATTTACTAAGCAACCCGCTATTTTTATGAGAAAACATCAATTGGATAATTCGTATGTTTGAATTTCCATAGCCGTGGTAATACTAAACATTGAACCAAAGCGATAAAACACTATTACACTCATCGGGAGTGTGTAGGACACTAAAACATGGCATAATGTGGTATACGGACCTTGCATTGCGAATCCGGACACTCAAAAAGGTCACAAAGGAAACCTCCCTCAATTGTATTCACTTTATCTCTCTCTATTTCAAATCTCTCCCAAATTTCTCTCAAAAGTTCCCGTAACTTTTCATAGTCTTTCGGGCCATCCCTACCCTTAACCGGGTCAGAAACGGCTTGAAACGACGTAAAAACGAGTAAAACATCCTTAAGGAGCCGAAACTCCTCTTAGGGCCGAAACCTCTTAGCAACCGAAACCCTAGGGTCGAACCCTCTTGGCAGCCGAAACCCTATGACCGAAACCAAGAAGCAGTCGAGACCCCAGCAGCCGAAACAGTGACCTCTAAAACCGAAACCCTACATCCGAACCCTCCCAACAGTCGAAATCGAGACCTGCTAATGGACCGAGACTCGCCGAGGACCGAACCCACTGAGGACCGAAACCCGTCGAACCGAGCCTCGCTTCTTCAAGCTCCGCCTTCGCACCTTCGGTTCTTTCTTTCTCTCCTCTCGGTCCCTTCCCTAATTTCGGTTCTCATGCCCAACCAAACCACACTTTCGTTTCTAAGCTCCTTAGGAGCCGAACCTTCGCAACTTCGGCTAGA